GCAGTGCTGCGTGCTCCTCCTTGGGTCCTGGTTGCAATGGATGGAGGCCAATCAGCAGTGAATTTCCCACAGCTGGCAGCTCTGACCCCCAGGGGGCACTTGCAAGCAGGAATGAGGAGATAGCAAGAAGTCTCTTCCCCCTGCAGTGCACACCAGGTTCACATCCCAGAAAACCCGGGCAGCGCTTATATATGGGAGAGGTAGGGAAAGGTGTTGGAAAAAATCTGTGGATCCTGAGAAAAGGTGTCAGAGTCCTGGGATTCTAAACAGCTCCCAAGCACCCCTGCCCCTCAAGACAGAGCCCCTCCAACAGAGGTCCTTTTCTGTGAGCAGACAGTTCTTTTTCATAGAATGAGACACGTTCGTCTTCCTGAGGTGGCCTCCATGTGTACTGTAGCCTATTATCCTCTGAGCAAATCTATAAGGGAAATTGGAGCATCTTTATCTTTGAATCTAGCAAAGTGTTTGAGGCCATGTTGGGAACCGTGACTCCAAGAATCGCTAGGCTAGTGGAGTGATGGTGGGCCTGGGGACACAGCAATGGGTGAGTGGATGTCACAGAGGCCCCATCGGATCACTTTCATCTGTTTTCTTAATGAATGGGGAGTTGGGTCTTTTGGGGCTCCCTTGGCCTTGCAAGACCAGCAGCTCCATTGTCTCCACCTCCCCCAGGGAGAGCCACACTCTGGAGGAGCCTCTCCCCCAACTGCCTGACCCTCCTCCCTGCTGACACATGCTCAGGCTTCCTCATGTTTCCCTCCCATCAAGGTGAAAGAAATCTAGAAAATAATTGCTGGTGTTTGCATCATTTTCTCTCCCACCCCTCCCCAGAAGGACATTCCTCTCACTGGGATGAGGATGGCATTTGGGGAAGGGGAGGAGGAGCTTAGGAACTGCCCACGTGGTTGGGCCCAGGCACTTGGTCCTTGTCATGGCACAGCAATGCTTGTGTTAGGTACCTGTTAGGAGACTGTGCCCTGAAGATACTGCTTTTCCACAAATGTTTTGTAATGTCTTTGAGGGGAATTCAATGTAAGAGTGAGCAAAAATATTCTCTCTCTCCCTCTGGCCAAACATACCCTGACCTTGTGTCTGACAGTGGCTGTGGGCTGCAAATGGGGAGTAGGTGCCTTGGGATCCGGAGAAAAGGCCTTAAATGGATGCACACATAATCAACTCCAACTGGCCACACCCCAAAGGAAGGCACAGCCCCCACGAAACACTCCTCCCGTTCCCCTCTGACTGCATGCTCCCATATTAAAACACCCCGCCCCCACCAGCCTCTCCTTGATGTCAGCAGAAGAAAGCAAGCGAGGGGTGACAGCGCAGCGTCCTCTTGACTCCCTGTGTCCTAGAGGAGACCGTGAGGTTACCGGTGCCAGATCCCAAGCCCTGCGTATCAATCAGGCAAACGGCTTCCCAAGGCCTACAAGGGGGTTTGTAGAATGTGCACATCCACCTCAAGGAACAAAGATAACACAAGGCCAAAGAGTAGGATCGCTGTACCAATAGGGGCGGTTCTAAGGCATGGAAAACACCCATCCTTGACACACCATGCTATGCTGGCCACTGTGAGCTTGACAGGCTGCTCCTGCTTTCATCACATCCCCCACCCCCCCCCTCCCTGCTCAAAAGCCCTCTGTGGCATCCAGGGCCAACCAAATGGGGTTTAAGTTCCTGGGTCTGGCCCTCAGGGCTCTTCCTGCCTGCACTGCAGGCGAGTGCAGAATCTTCCCTTGCCCCTCCCAACAGTTTTCCTGGGACATCAATGGGATCGCTGCTTATTGCACCCACACGCCCAGGCCTTTGGTGTTTTAGAAACATAGCTGTAATCATGCCAGCACCTTCATTATGCTCTTCCAAAATAGAGGGGAGAATGTCTAAGTTCAGCAGTTTCTGGGAAACAGCTCTCATGAGTGGACCCTCACCCCTCACCTGTCCCTCCCTAGAGATGAGAAATCAAAAGCACTTGGTGTGTGCCGTGTCCAACCTACACAGGCACCGGAGTCCAGGACAGCTTTCAGACCTGCTGCAGCTGGAGTCTTCTCCCGGCTCATCTCAGAGCCAAAAGCAGCTGCTTTCCAACAAGTCTTTTTCCACTCCGAGTTCTTTCCTCGGCCCTAATGTCCACCAACTGAGGCTCCTGGCTCCGGCACATGTCCTCATTCCCAGAGCATGTCTCTCAGGTTTCCACAGATTCTAACCTTCCACTCCCACTGAAGAACATGGAATCCTCCCGGTGCCTGCAATACCCGGCCTCAGGGACTTTGTACTTACTACTCCTTGAGTGTTTCCGATCTCACACGGCAGGCACCTCATGACAAGGAAGCCTCCTGGCTCCCAGTGCCCACCTCCCGGAGTTAAATGTCTCTCCTCTAGGCTCCCTCGCCACCTCATCCCAGCATTTAACACACCAAACTGCCGCATCTGGCTGCTTCACTTCCATGACAGCCCCATCTCGACTGTCAGATGGGGGCCACAGGACGAGACCGGTGAATTCTTGTATCTCGGGTGCCCAGCAAAGTGCCTCACCTATCATAGGCGGTCAGTAAGTGTACGTTGAATAAAGGAGTCCATGAGCAAGGTGTCTCATTCATGAAATTTTTATTTCCCCCTACATTCCAGAAAACTGTGCAGATACATGTAAATATCCATTGTTTTGGGGACGTCAGACGCTGACCAGCTCTTTATTTTATCTTTATATTTGGACGGGGAATCATTGCACTGTCAAGTCCTTCCAACTTTCAAACTATGACTTATTCCAATCCTCTAATATGTTCCAGACATACAATGATTATAGTCTCCCACTGTCTTTCACACAACAGCACATCTCTCCTAAAACGGAAACGAAGAAGAGGAAAACATTGGAACCCAGATGCTCCACTTAAATGCTCCATGGAATGTCCAGAAAACCAAGGATTTTGAAAGATTGGTTATGTCTGACTCTCATTTCAACTGAGGTCTAATGATGCCGTCCTTTCTTGGTGTTTTAGCTTTTGCAGTGGGGGTGGGGTGGGGGTGGGGAAGGTACCCAGGGCCTGGCACATGCTAGCAAAGTGCTTCACCACCACGGAGCTACATCCCCAGCCTGTATCATTTAACCTGAAACCAATTCGTGCCTATCCGATATTTGTCTCTAGAAGAGGGGGCAGGGGGCCGGGGGGCTAAAGCAAGCAGAACTTTGAAATGTGCAAACTGAAAGCTCAGTCACCAAGAACCACAAATAGCACTGGAACACCACTGTCCTGGGCAGTTTGTTCTCCCTAAGCCCACTCTGCCCCTGGACTCTTCACTGGTCAGAGCCTGGCTCTTTCTCTGCTCCAGGGCCTCTTTTCCTACCCACAAGAAAACAAAGTGAAGACTCGGCCTCGGCCTCCCCTGCTGGCAGCAGAAGCCCCTGATTCTAACGCGAGATGGGGACCTTTACTGGCACTGTCCCCGGTACTGATCATTTCTCCCACCATGGCTCTAGCCCTGGCACTGGCATTTGCTTGCACGGGTACTGGTGCTGATGCTTGCTTGCTTCAGCCATGGCATAGGCCCTGGATCTGGAACTGGCGCTAACACTGGCACTTGTCACATCACCAACAGCAGCTGTGTCTTGGGCACCAGGTATCTCCTCCTCTTCTTTCAATGCCTCATTTACTGCCACGGGAAGGATCTGGGGTAGGTGTCATTCACCTTGGCCACAAACTCCGGGATTTCCATCTGTCTTGCTTCCTTTGAGAGCCCCACAAGCACACCGAGCACAGGGGCCTGCTGTTGCACACCTACTGGCGCACCACGTACTCGTGTTGCACACACGCTTTGGTGACGAGCTTTGGCGACGGCTCCCCACAGATGAAATGCTTTTTAGGCGGATATACCTGCAACACCCTCAACACCTCCCAGAACACCTCCTCGGGGACACTGTTTCTGGCCTGCATGAAGATCAATCGAGTCCAGGGTAATCATCGGAAGCCCAGTCTGTGGCGGGCCCTGGTCGCCTGTCAGGCCCCAAAGCAGGGCCACATCGGTTTTTCTGATCAGGACATAGGAGTGCTCTGTCGCATCAAGTTCCTTCACCTAGGACCCAAAGACTAACTCGGGGAGGTCAGAGGCTCTCTTGAAAATCGACACTCTCGGGGAAGAAGCTCCTGTACCTCTGGATGACACACTTCAGCATGTCTGCCCTTTTGATCAGCACCGTCTTCGCGTTCTTAACCAGCAGGTACTGCACCAGCAGCTCAGCTACTTTCTAGCTCCCGGGGTCTCTGGGCATGCGCATCAGGGATGTTGGGGCCCGCGGGGTACTCGGCGCTGGGGGCCCTAGGGGTTGCTGGGGTCCACAAAAGCAACTTGCAGAAGCACCT